CTGGCGGAGCAGCTCCAAGATAATCAATGCACATTGATTGCCAATCACCATCCGTCATACCACACATCATATTTCCGTCGACGGGAAGCCCCAGATGCATAGAGACATCCTCCAATGTAATTGTCGCCTCTCCACATGGAAGGTGAAAAGTGTGTGTCTCGGGCCTCCACCTCTCAATCAGTGCAGAAATTAGGACAGGTTCGAGTTTGCAACCGCCTATAATTGTTGCAATATACCCGAACCCGGCAGAAGCCAAATATGGCAAAATATGTTCCGGTGTCGGTATACATGGATTTTTAATAAAAGTCTCTAAAATACGATCAGTATCCTAAATAATATACATTATAAAAAATAAAAAATAATATAAATTCATAATAACTTTAAAATAAAAATAAATTTAAATATTAACATTAATTATAAAAAAATATTACCATATCGCTAAAATGTCTGGAGATATGATCAATATCCAATCACAACAGTATTTCGTTTTCCATTATAACTGTAGACAAAACAATATAATTAGCAAAAAAAATTAATAATTCTAAATAAATAATAATTATATAAACATAAATATATTAATATAAAAAATAATAACTATTTAAAAAAATACTAACATAAAAATAAATTTCTTACCACTAATAACAAATTTAAAACTCAAATAGTTGGAGAATTTGAGTTATATAAGAGAGGAGAATATGATTTTGGTGTGAAGAATGAGGGAGAGTTGAGGGGGTTTATATAGGGGAGGAGGAGGGGTAGTTAGGAAAAACAGATGGGGGCATTTATGACATTTAATGGAAGGCGCGTCCCCGGGGATGCGCTTTCCACACGTGGCAGTCGAGTCAGTGAAGGCGCGTCCCCGGGGATGCGCCTTCCACACGTGGCATCCAACTCAGCGAAAATACGGGTAAAGCGCGTCCCCAGGGACGCGCCTTTGCGAACTCAACAGAAAGGGTGCTACTTCGAGAAATATTGATCAAACGGTATCAGAAATAGAATATTAAAGAAAATTGGTGTGTTGCAGCAGAAAACTGAGCATTGCAGTGATCAGTACTTCTTTGGTACTGGTCAAAAGGCGACCAGTCAATGCATATCTGAACAACCTTGTGTGGTCTGAGGGATGTCTGGTTCCCTAAAATTTACAGAAATGCCATTCTGGTGGTACACTATTATTGGAGCTAGTATCTTGTATTGTGTTTTTATCCCTGTGGCCTGTGACAAAAGTTGGACCTTCTTTCTTCCTTTTACTCTTTATTTTCCACTGAATTCAGAGTTCAGATTGAGATAAAAGGAAGATGAATGAGGCCATTATGGCTAATTTGGTAGCCTTTGGTTCGTAATTTTCTGACAAAATGGGCTTTTACAAATGCGGCTTTATAAATTGTAATTATCATGCAAGAGAGCCTGGATATATAATTGCCATTTTCAGCTTTTTTCTCCACCAGTTACTATCTACCCCTCCCTCAATGCTGGTCTTGCTTGCTTCATGTTGTTGCCCTGTTAATGGGGATGATCATAAGTCGGGTTGGGTTTTAGCCCATTCAAACCTGACCCGTATATTACACCCCCTCCATCTACACCCGATCTTAAACCCAACCCGACACAACTATAATCATGACTAGGGGTGCACAAAAAATCCGAATATCCGATTTTACGAAAAAAATATCTGAAACCGGATTTGGAAAAAACCGGTTTTTTTTTAACCGGATCGGATTTTTTTTAAACCGGTTATTTTAACCGGTTTGGAGAAAAAAACCTAGACCGGGTTTTTTACCGGATAAAAAACCGGTTTTTATCCGGAAAAAAAAACCGGTATGGGTTTAAAAAACTAGCCGTTAATATAGCCGTTGGGAGGGTTTTGTGACCGTTTTTGACCGTTTTTTTCTTTAAAAAATTACCATTTTACCACCCTAAACATGTATAAATAAATTGGGGATGTATTTGGTTGATTACAAATTTCTCAAATCTTATTACACAACACTTAAACATCTCTCAAATCTTACTTTTGTAATTTTTTGTTCATCATGAGTAACACGGCTGAATCTTCCGTCGGGGGAAACCTTGAAGTCGTGAGAGTGATCGAACACACTCGAAACAAAGACATTTGGGATCACTACGATTTATGTGAGATGTCAAATGGCTCGAGGAGGGCGCGTTGTAAACTTTGTCTAAAGTTTCTTGCATCGGAAGGAAACACAACGTTGAAGAACCATTTGACAAAATCATGCAAGGCACTTCGCTCAAGATCAGATCCTAGTCAATCGAATCTTACACCGCAAGGTGGTGTTTTTGTTTACGACAACGAAAAATTACGAGAAGCGTTTACAAAGTTCGTGATTACAAAAGCATTGCCGTTCGACCACTTTGATGATGAAGATTTCACGATAACAATTCAACAACTAATGCAACCACGTTATACTCAAGTAAGTTGTACTACCCTTAGAAGAGATGCTATAAAAATGTGGCGTACGGCGAGGGAAAAAATGATTTTAGGATTCCAAGAACACCGTTATGATGTGTCGCTTACATGTGACGTTTGGAGTTCCCCTCATAATACCGGAAATTCTTTTTTAGCCGTTACGTCACATTGGTTAGATCAAGATAATTGGCAAATGATGAAAAGAACAATCGCGTTTGAATTATTCGGTGAGCCGCATACCGGTGCTAATTTATTTACACTTTTAAAAAGGGTAATTTGTCTTTATAAATTAGAAAATAAAGTTTTTTCTATATCCTTTGATAATGCATCGAATAATACAAACGTGGTTCCAAGATTGAAAATATTACTTTCATCGATTTTAGACGGTGCGTTTTTTCATACCCGTTGCGTTGCACACAAAATTAATTTATCCGTGCAAGCCGGTTTGGAGGTTATTGAGCCGATTAGATTAGAATTTAAAACAATGATAAAATCGGTTCTTTGTAACAACAACAAAAGACTAAATGATTATAAACGATTTTGTAAGTCCGTTAATAAAAAAGCTTTGGGTCCTAATTTGGATTGTCCAACTCGTTGGAACTCAACTTGGATGATGATGCATACTGCCTTAAGGCAAAGGGAAACATTGCAAACATTTCACGATCGGCTTTTCGAGAGGGGTCATGTCCCAAACATTTATCCTGATTCGAGTTGGGAAACTTTAGCAAAAATAACTTATTTGTTTGAGGTTTTTAAAAATGCAACAACTTTTTTATCCGGTGTTTATTACCCTACTAGCCCGTTGGTTCTTAATCAAATATTTTTTTTGGCTACCCGACTAAATGACTTTGAATTTGAAACCGAAGTTTTTCAAGAAATTGGCTTTGCAATGAAGGAAAAACTTTTAAAATATTTTAAGGAGATTCCCCCCATTTTTACTTATGCCGCCGCTTTAAACCCAACGTTAAATGTTGGTGGGGTTGAAACACTAATTGAACAAATTGCGTTTGCTTTTAATCTAACCGATGATGAACCCAACTTTGTCCAAAACCAAATAAATTATTTTAACAAATGTTTTCGAGACATGTTTGCAATTTATTTAACTAAATACGGATCAAGTAGTGTAATACACGATCAAATGAGAATGAATGCGGAATCATCTAGTAGACGTCCAAGTAACATAAATTTGAATCTTTTTAACACTCTTGTAAATTCCCAATCCAAACGATCACGTACTACCACCCCAAGTAGCGAGTTGGGAAATTACATGTCATGCGATTTTCTATCAAAATGACATTTGAAGAGTTTGAAAGTTTAGATATTTTGGCTTGGTGGAAAGAAAAGGAAGCACAATTTCCGATTCTAGCCGCCATGGCCCGTGATTTACTAACCGTCCAAGCTTCTACGGTAGCTTCGGAATCCGCTTTTTCTGTTAGTGGCAGGGTTATATCGCAACGGAGATCAAGACTAAGTCCCGAGTCGGTGGAAGTATGCATTTGTTTAAAGGATTATTTGGATGGAGCGGCTCGTAAGCAACATATCACCACCCTATAAGATGCAATTGATACCGATTTGGAAGCAAACTTACACATTGAAGAAGTCGAACTTGGAATATCCCCTCCAAACGAAGAAGGCGAAGATGATGAAGAAGAGATGGCAATGTAGTTTATTTTATAACTTTATTTCAATTATCGCAAACTTTGTTTCAATTATCGAACTTGAAATTTTTAAGTATTTGAATTTATCGAACTTGGAAGTTTTTAAGTATTTGAATTTATCAAACTTGGAAGTATTTAAGTATTTCAATTATGTTGAGTTAATTAAGTATTTCAATTAAGTATTTGAATTTATCGAACTTGAGGTTTGATGCTTTCTCTTTGATTCTCTCTTGATTCTAGTTGCTTGATGTTTATTGTCTTTGATCAATGGCTTCTAAGCTTGCTTAAATACACCTTGAATCACTTCTGAACGTTAGTGATAATTAATGAAGATAATATAACCGTTTAAGTGTGAAAACATTTAATAAAAATGCTTGGAGCGTGGGGGAATCGATACCCTCTCATAGGGAATCGGTTTCCTCTCATAGGGAATCGGTTCCCTAAGTGTAAAATTCAAATATTTCGACCGTTGAATAGGGGGGAATTGGTACCCCCTATGGGGGAATCGGTTCCCTCCGAGCATTCTGGAAATCTCGAAGCCAAACCATTCAGTGAGGAATCGGTACCCCCTTGGGGGGGAATCGATTCCCTATGAGCAATCTGGAATATTAAAATCGGTTTTTTTATAACCGGTTTTTTAAAAAAACCGGTTTTTTTAAAACCGAAACCGGTTACACCGGTTAGGATATCCGGCCCCCCAAACCGGTTAAAAACCGAACCAGTTATTTTATAAACCGGTTTTTTTTCTATGAGAAAAAACCGGATCAGATAAAAACCGATCCGGATCGGATTGAAATCCGACAAATGTTCATCTCTAATCATGACAATCAGGTGGCATTCAAAACCCTGCAGCTAAAATGGATGAAGGGGCATTTCTGAAGAATCATTCATTTAGTTGTGCCAATCAGAAAAACTCTAATAATCAACAAATGTTCAAACATCACAATCTCGATGTAAACTTCGAGAGGAAATTGTGCTCATGAAAACAAAATAATTGAAAGATTTGGTGTAGGTATACAGTTCAATACAAGACAACTACTCGAACGATTATTGAAATATATATTAGATTGGGACCATTTACAACGCTCCATCTTCATCTCCATCAACCGGAAAAATCGGATCAGACTCGATTTTCTTTTTCTTTAATACTCTATGGTTTATACATGACAGCAGTGGTAGAAAAATGTACAAATCTCGGGGCAGAACGATACCTGAAAAACATTAGACATCTATTCCCGCTATCCGTCGACATCACTGCCTCTTTGTTAAAACCTTCACCACACCTTTAATAATCTTTCCGAACCACATCAAGTTCATGATAGCTAACACATATGGCACCCCGAAAACCAACATATAGCCAAAGGCATGCATCTTGATTACCTATTTGAGCCAATCAAGTCGGTAAGAACGGATTCATAGCAAATACTTATAACAGACAAATCGGTTGCACCAGAATCGTTTGAAAGATTGTGCGTGGAGATTAGACAACACATTTGACGGACGATGAATATCGGGATGAAAGGGAAATTGACAAAAAAGAAGAGCATGGAGGCAAAAGTACCTGTGTATAATGCAAGTATACATGGTAGAACATGTAACCGAATAGCAGAACTCTTGCAATCTACAATTTATAATTTACTTCAGTTTCTACGAATTGCGGAACATATCCATTTTACGATGGAAAAAAATAAATCGTTGAGCTCACCAGCCAAGCCAAAAAGATGACAACACCATTGATGATATATGCAGTGGACCTCTTCATACCAGCCGTGTCAAGATACCTTCCTCAAAGAAACAGGAGATGGTTTAATTTAATATCCGAACTTCGACAAACAGAATCTCACTAATTGAACTTACCATCTTATGTTAATCTCCGGAGTTGTCACCTCAGATATAAGAACCATGTATGTATAAAGCTGCGCTTCTCCAGTAAACATTGAATATGCCACTGCAATTCCCGAAAGCGTGTGATGGATAACCTGCAATCAAATGTTAATATCTTATTTGTCATCATCACTTAGCACTGCATATACTACACAAACATAAGTCCTTTTAAGCATGAAGCCCCTGATAATTTGGTGTCTGCTTCACTTTAAGTTGTTACCGGATGTATAAATACTCGACTCCATTCAATTAATGAATCAACAGGGTTTGTCTAAGTGGAATGGTTTGAGGAAACAACCGAGTTTTTAAATATGCAATTTGGAAGGATGTTGAAGGCGTCCCTCGAATATTTATGGACGCTATAAAATGTAAGTCAGAATGCTATCCACATAGAGAATACACTTACATATTCTATTCCACCTAAAGAGGGATATAGCCATAAAATCATTCCAAGATCCGAAAGGAAGTATCCAACAGAAACCTGTAAGATGATAATAACAACTATTTTAGGAAGTTCTCGGATTAGCACCAGAAGCGGCACTCGATTTTATCCAGGAAAGTCAACAAAGAAGCTGAGAAATTAGAGCCAGTTGCCACTCGGTAAACATTTGCTAATCACTTTCACGCAAAAGCTGAAATGATAAAAGAAAATTTCTTCTTCGGAGAAACTATAAGCTATATAAATCCTAATGAATGAGCTGAAAGCCAGCAGCATCATAAGCATTATGCCACGTTTAATAAGAAGCTAACATGTATCCTTGTTCACAGTCGAAATTTTATACAGAACGGATAAATTGTTCACGAGATAATCGGATGAACCTCTTAAAGACCACATAAGAAGGCTAACACTCACCCCTAATCCAAAAGTAGAAAGTGGCGAGCTTCGGAAGACGAGAAGACCAGCAAGTTCATCAGAAAAGAGTTTCGACCCGAAAACGAGGTACAACGACAAAGCAGAAATAAAAACAGCATGAACTGTAGAGATGCCACTGCCAAAAATACGTTAACGAGCAATGAGATAACAAACATTGTAACAGAAGCATAAATATAAGGAGAAACTAGATGATGCACTACACTAACCGATTGTTCCACTCTAATCGTTGAATTTTGGTAAGACCACCGTAAGTCTTGCAGTAAGAACGGCTGATTAACTGAGTAAGATCATAGGCCTGAGGAACGAGGAGAAGCATGTACAATAAGGAAACCAAGGCCTGAGATTCCAATATGTAAATGCCTTCATCCGAGCTTCATAATAAAAGGTCAAGTCTACAAGGAAACATATTTATTAGCGCAAAAACTCGATATACCGCTTTGCAAGCAAGAATACCGCCCAGGATGGAAGTGTATGGAATGTAGGTATCAGCAAATAAGTAGTTCTTAACCAGCAGCTGAGCCTGGTTTTGGTAAGACTTCATAGCCATCACCGTCTGTTTAGGCACTTCTCTCGACTTCTCTCATATTGGAATCTCGAAATCACATTTGCAACATGAGTACCTTCTCTAAGTCTCCTCACTCATTCAACCATGGATTCCATGACACAAACAATAAGGTTGTCAGAGACGAGAAAAATTAGATATTCGGGAGGTTTTTCTACATAGATACCAATTTTCCCTATTACAATAAATATATAGGTACAATTTTTTTTCTATATGACAACAACTTCAAATCAAGCAAGCTAAAGCAAACAAGAAACAACCAAATTCTGAAAGTTTAATTAAAATGAACAAAGCAAATACTAACGGTAAGATTCAGATCAAACAAACATTTCCATTTCAGGTGAGCAAATCCAAATAAGCTATGAGAAAACACTGAAATATGAAGTAATCCATTTGGAGAACACCTAGATAATAATGGAATCCAAAGCAACATAAAGCAATTAAAAATAAACACGATACAAGCAAAGTAGCTGAGACATCTGATAAATGTGCTTACCCTAAGCAAGGATTACTTATTTGAAGAACCAACGATGAAATTTAAACAAAATGCAGTGGGTATTCAAAGGATAAAAAACAAATCTTTGAAAGAGAAACATATAACAGAGACCAGAAAAAAAGGGGTTTTCCAGGGCTAATCAGTGTTTAAGACCCAGAAAAAAGAAAACTTTAAAACCCAGAGCTAAAGAGAAGAAATGGGAACTTGACAAAATGGCAGATCAATGCAGAAGTGAAGAACAACCCATGAAAGAATAAGGCTCAAAACAAAAGCACAAGGTTGAAAAAACAGGAAAGGAGTGAAAGCAAATCATTGGTGCACCAAAAGAAGTAAAAAGAAAAGTAGCAGTGGCACCAACCGTGAGATTTAATCAATGTAGGAAGAGTATTTTCGAATCTCCAACAAACTCAATAATAACCAAAATAATAGAAGGATATATATATAAAAACTAAGCAAAGCTGCAAAAGGAGATGAAGAAGAGGGATGTATCGGTAGATATACTTGAGAGGTGATGGGTCATGGGATTATTGGCTGATGAAATGTTTGGTTTGTCAACTTATTTGGTTGGTTTTTGGGCACTTGCAGTGTGGTAGAGTTTGCCATTGCAATCTTATCCCTTGCAAGATCCCGGGGGGGGGGGGGGATGTGTGACACTTTGTCTTTCTGGGTTTTGTTTATATGATGGAATTTTTTGAATTTTAACTCTTCATAAATTTTGTATCCTCTCTTTTTGGTTGAATCAAAAGCTCAAAGTGATGAATTTTCATTTTATTGTTATTTGTTTCTAACCATGTTGGATTGGAAACTCTTTGACATGGCAAATGTGTGATTGCTGCTTTGCACCATTGTTGACTTCTTGTTGCTTGTTACTCTTTCTTAGATCCACAATTTTCTTGTTTTGCGAGTGTTGAGTGTTTAAAAAAAATGAATAAATTATTTAAGAAGCATTGAATTTAAAGGGAAATCTTATAATATAGAACTGTGATCTGGAAATGAGTTCCATGAGGTAATGACAAATTAACAATCATTATATTTTAATATCTATTTTAAATCAAAGAACACGTCGAATTGTGTGTTTGTTCGTCAATAGAATAACAAAGGGTTTAAAGTTGTATGTTTCTCCAAGTTGTTACGTTTTCTATGTATACGGTGATAGATCCAGAAATATTTTTAAGATTAGGTATACAACTGTTAACAATATAAAATTTTTAAGTATAAATAAAATTTCAAGTTGAATATTGTCAATAAACTAAATAATTGATAAAAAAAAACTTAAATTTCAGGATGAATACTATCAATAAAATAAATAATTAATATAAAAAAAATTAAATTTTAGGGTGGACACGTATCCACTCTCACTAAGCTGTTGCTCCGCTAACAATTAAATTTGGTTTGAGTAAATGAGATGGATGGATTCTGCCCAAATGCATGGTTTGAAGAAAGAAATATCTTAATCAATGAATTGAATAAGATTAAATGAAGTTGTATCTAACCACCCATTTTCATTCTTTATCTTTCCTACCATAGTGATGTTACCGATGCGTGAGGATCGGAATCGGATATGCTTCCAAACCCGGAGTTGAAAACACATCAACGAAGATGCCGAGTCAATACGATCGTCATCCAAAGTGCAGCAAATGAAGAAAAGGTTGTTAAAGGGAATGAATCATAGTTGAAAATTTTCTATTATCATAGATCTCTGTCACCAATGAACATAAAATTCCTATTGGTAAAGTTAATATGTATAACACTTTTGCACCAGGGGGGATTGATTATGGAACAAGCTTTTTCCGGAGACGAAAGGAATAATTATACGTTTTACTCGCAAGAAATCCTTACCGATTAATATTTCGTTATAATTTCTTGTACTTATAGGGGCCACCGTCTCTTAAAGACGATGACGACAACGATGAAGACAAACCGTTGCGGTTAAACTCAGCCTTGTCCTTGTTAAATGCCTTCTGGACGTCCTCTTTAAGCTCCTTGAAGCGTGTTCTCTCCATCTTTTGCTCTTCCGGGTGCTAGTCTCGAGGTAATACTGATCAGGAAGGTCATCCTCCATGAACTTATCGAGCACTTCCAAGCAATGAGGGAAATAGCGCCGACCCATATCCACTGCAAAACAACCAACATGATCGAATTAAGACATTACAAGCAAATTTTCATACGGAATCTCTGAATGTAAAACCGAAAAAATTTCAGATACTGAAAAGATAAATGGACCTAAATACGAGGATGTTCACCTGTTTTCATAAGGGCTTCCATCCTAGCAAGAAGTCGTTTCCTCTGCATAATGGGTGTCTCATTCAGATCAACCTGCCTTGAGTTCCCATTGAAACTTTTTGATGATCGACCATTAGCAAGCTCGGAGGTTGTCTCGGCATGTGCTATGTCGGTGGCAAGTTTTGCTTCACTCGGAAAAAGTAATCTCGCCAATGCCACTGCAATAGACAACATTAAGAGTTAGCCCTCGAAATATGAACCCATGATAGGAGCACTTGCAGAAAGGATGCAATTTGAAGTGCTAGTACATATTACAGCATTTAATTTTCATATTCACGAACGATTTTACTGGTGTTAATGATTTCAGATCCACAACAATCACAACCGATATGAAATGTCGTGAAACACAACATGATAAACCAATTGTGGAGGACAGAGAGCCACATGATATCCCCACAGAAAGTAATACCTCGTTCTGGTACAAAAATCTCATGTGCAGATCATCAGCCAACGTATGGAAGCGACAGCAGAAACATCCCGGCCATTGGATTTCGCCTCTTTCCTCTCGAGAACATCAATGCATATCCTGTCTTTATTTGTTTCCTTCCCTTGCTCTGTCTTCGCGTGATAATCCTTCAGTCTTGTCAACCTCAGGCAGATGTTAACAGCACTCCGTCCATCCAATGTCAATGTTGAAGCAAATGCCCCCTTAGCTAGAAGTGACATTATCACCGACGGTTCTTTACTCATCGCATCTAGGTGAAGAACCGTGTAACCGCGATAATTTCGCAGGTTAACATCGGCTAGACGCAGACCAAGAATCTCGGAAATAACCTTGGGGTCACAATATGCTGCAGCATAATGGAGGGCAGTCGCATCATCCAAAGTTATGCCAGACTCCGTTAAAAGTAGTTTAACAAGTTCGACATCGGAATCTAATGCTTTGTGTATTCTCTGGATTCTTTTCTCCCGCAAAGGATCGATCACTGCCTCGTTGCCTTCAGCATCTCTGCAACTTCATAAGGAAGCTCTTCCTCGATACAGATGCTATCAAGATCGGACCTAGCTACTCTATCAACACATTGAGAAACGAGTTGACTACATTGACAATGGAAAGCAACCACAAGGATTGGGATGATATCTTCTACAATCGCTTTCTCAACGAAATTAAGAAGACGTCGCTGCAAAATAAATACAAAAAACAAAAGAAGGGTCATTTTAGTTGAAGCTGGATTGATTTGAATACTTTTTTTCCTTATTTATTTATTTATTTATCTTTTATTTGAATTTAAAATAGAGATAATGTAAAAATTTAGCTAAATTTCCTTTTAATCTTAGTCATTGATTGTATTCAATATCACCCTTGGATATAGGGAGCTTCAACTATAAATAGAGGTTACTCCCACCTCATTTTTCACTTCATTTTTGAAGAATAAGGTTAAGTATTCTCTCAAATTCTCTGGTTCTTGTGTGTGAGGCATTTTCCTTTCGAATTTTTGTTTGCTTTCGCATTTCTTTTTAAGTCCTTTTACTTAGATTGTTCAGGTTGACTTAGGCGTTGCCTTCCGAAAAGCGTCTAAGGCCGCACGGTTCCGCTAGTTGAAATTCTAGAAAGGATAATTTATGTCAAATACCATTCATCTTTAAGCTCGGGCTCGAAAATGCCATCGATATTTTAATTTTGCCAATTTTAACACGGACGTTTATGTTTCACTGCAATTTTACCACTCCGCCGTTAATCCGTTAACGGGACGATGACATGACATCTTTTTTTCCGTGACGGTGATGACATGGCTCCCTCATCAAAATGACGTCGTTTTGTTAATGAAAAATATGTTTCTCATGAGATTTACCGTAGACCTTTAAAACCAAAATCTCAATACCCAACCACCAAACTAACTTAAGAACTTGGTATAACCTTAACAAAACTATTCATCACTACCACTATCACTCTCATTATCCAATATGAGACGTTTGATGCTAGTCATCCACTGCCTGTATCTGTTGGTACTATTCTCCCTCAACATCAGCAACCTGTTCAGATGCATAGATCTGGGTGGTCAATGGAAGATGCTACTTTTCTGGCTAATAGCTTTAAAGGTTTGACAACATTGGGTAATGGACATTTAACAACGAGTGAGGTGCAAGATAATTTAGGCTTTTCTCATCCTGCTACTCATTTGCTTGCTATCCAAGTCTGTCAGTGTTGGTTCTAATGGTACATACAGTCTGACAAAAATGTTGGGAATTGTGATGCCATCCAGAACTAATGCTATTGTGCCAAGTGTTGGTACTGGTGATGTCTTACCTGCTAGAACTATCTCAGCTTCATTAGTTGGGATGCAGAAGAATCCAGTTAGTCGTCCAGTTAGCCATCTTGGTCCGCCAACTGGGATTTAGCCCTGTTCCTCCAAAGCAACTGAATGAATCTGTTTCTTCCATAGGTTTGGAAAAAATTCCGATGGATTATTATAGCTGGTTGGATGGACATCAGTCGAGATCCTTGTTTAAAGGCTCTGGGCTCGAGAGTTCACTCTATAATTCATCTCATGCTAATCCCCAGAATGCCAATAACAAAAGCAATGGCGTGACTGGAACAATAAGCTTTCCTTTCCCTGGAAAGCAGGTTCCAGCAGTGCAGGTTCAAATCGAAAAGGAGAAAGGCTGGCAAGACTACAATACCCTTGAGTATCTGAAAATTCAGCATGAACAGAAATTGCATCTGTTGGTACTATTCTCCCTCAGCATGAAAATTCAAGCAATACCACTTATGAATTCTAGGTTGTGATGTTAAAGATAATGATTGAAAATTAGTAGTAGAATCGTTATGGATAGAGAAAGATAATGAGGGTGACGGTGGTAGTGAACATTTATAATAGTTTTGTTAAGATTATATCAAATTCTCAAGTTAGCTTGATTGTTGGGTATTTAGATTTGGATTCTAAAAGTATACGGTTCGAATTTCATGAAAAACATATTTTTTATCAAAAAAGCGACGTCGTTTTGAGCTTTTTAAGTATCAAAACGATCGTGCCAAAACGACGTCGTTTTGATAAGGGAGCCATGTCATCGCCGTCACGAAAAAAGATGTTATGTCATTATCCCGTTAACGGATTAATGGCGGAGTGGCAAAATTGCAGTGAAAACATAAACGTCCGTGTTAAAATTGACAAAATTAAAACGTTGATGACATTTTCGAGTCTGAGCTTAAAGATAGTGGTATTTGACATAAATTATCCTTCTAAAAACAGTGAATGAAGTCGTTTCGATGACACGAAGATGACGTAGTGAATTGTATCTTTGTTATGATGATGTCATAGGTGACATCATACACATGTGGAACCATTATTGGCTGCTATAGCCGG